CAGATAATACGAGTTCTCAAGAAAGATCTTTCACTGAGGAGCAATAGTAATTTAACAAAGCACAATTCTAAACTAATACCCAAGTATCCAACTTATAGTCCGTATAGAATAAATAAACCAGTTTTACAAAAATTTATATCCATTAATAATAGTGATAGAAATTAAATAGAATTTAACAGAAATTACGGTCCTGTTTAGTAGGTACTGGGAACCTACAAAACAGATAAAGCGTCTCTGCTCTTCAGGATCTACTATCTACACCAAATGCAAAATCGATTAACAATGGAATATTATTCCACAATGCACTACCTATAGCTTATAATAACCACCATACCAGCATAGCTTAAGAAATTTTAGAAAGCCTGGATCCCTTGAATATGGATGTAGAAAAAGAAGTATTCGATAGGCCACCTCCAACTCTATTAATAATAATAATAAAAAAATAACTCCCCAATTTTTTGCCAGGAGATTTAAAACCTTGTTAACCTACCAGTTGAATTCATAATGTATCCATTATTTAAGCATTTTAAAATTAAAATAACATTTCACATTTTTAATTTTAATTATTATGATTATACTAATTGTGTGAATAAGATTTATACACAAAACTTGATTTTAAAAATGTTCTCCGAATAATAAAAAAAATTGAAAATTATTATAGGTTTCAAATACTCAAGCTTTGGATTTATTTTACAACTATGAATGTTTTAACTAAATAGAAATAACTCTGGTTGAAAAAAAATAAAAATATAAACCGTCAGTAAAAATAACGTAGGAAAACACATAACTGCTGACAGATTCAAATTTTTTTACAAATTATTTAATTAGTAAAAAATGTTTGAAGAAATTCATTAAAATAAAATTAGAAATTTCAAGATATTTATTATGGTTTGTTTGATACAACTTGTTTTAATACTGCAGCAGATATTAATTACGACAAGAGAAAATTAAAAAATGTAACAATTTTATGAGTATATTATTTTAATATAAAATTGTTTTTATAGGTACACAAATACAATTTTATGTTTCTTATGTGGATGTCTACTTTGTCATTTAACATGTAACTTTTAGCGAATCAAAATCTGACATTGAAAATTAATAATGAATACATAGCAACAGTACCAGCCCAGTTTTACGCTAATAATAATTTATGTTATATAAGATAAGTCTTTCAAAGAACATAATATAATACTATTAATAAATATTTAAAAAAAAAACTTTTTCTTTGTGGATTGATATTAATGAAATTAAATGAAAAATTCAATAAAATTAATAACTACAGATAATTTTATTTATTATGAGAAAAAAAAGTTTCTATTTTAGCTCTGCATAATTTTTAGATTGAAATAAGAGTCTTATTAAATAAAACACTTCACTATTACAAAAGCGAAATAAATTTACCAGATAAATGATCTTTATACTATAGTCAGCATATTTTTTTACCATAAGGATTATATCCAATTAAAGTTTCTAAATATATTTTCGAATGTATATTATACTATATACCTATATTAGTTTAATCGTTTAAAATGTTTAAATACTAACAAATAAAATATAAATTTAAACAGAACTATGTAAATTTCTGTCATTCCTGAATATTAATAGGATATTTATTCCTTTATGAAATTTGCTTTTGAATTCAGTATCTTAAAAATTGCTTGTCAGCTATAAATTTGGCATATGACTAATGATAAATTCACTTAAACTTAACTGTATGTGGTCGGTTATTAACGATTTTCCTCGCTATGCCTTTATAATTTAGTTGGTCATTAAAACGTGTTCCAATTATTCATGAAAATAATAAAGGAGTGTTTATTATTAAACTTCAATAATTTGTGTTCTTTAATTCAGAGTTTTTTTTTGTTATTAAAATGTAGGTACCTATATTATACAATTGTACCTATGAATTCCACATATTATATTAAAATTATTTAAATATAACTTAAAATTATATTACATAATATTGTCTATGATATTATAGGTGTCTGTCAATTTTCATATTCATTTGCTTCGAAAATATTCATCAAACCATATGTTTTACCTACTTTCAGTATTACATAATAATATTATTTAAACTGTAAGTGGAAGTTATGAACTACATATTTATACTATTTAGAGATAGGTAGTTAAAATTATAAGTAAAACAATGGAGTGGCGTACATATTATATAGGGGTCATTTTTGGAGCTCATATCACCCTCCCCGAAATTAAATTCTATACACGCCACTGAAACTATGAAAACACACAATATAATATTACATAAGTCCACAATATTGGATATATATATTTTGACAATAAATTACATCAGACCAGTGGTCGTCGCCAACCTTTTCCAACAAGTGAGTCAAATTAAAAATTGTAAGTATCTGGTGAACTATCAATTTTTGTTCGGATACACTGTACGGCGTATACTATTTAATATATTGATATTATATTCCACATAATAATATTCTTCTTTTATTATAGAGCTTAAAGGTGTTTTTAAGTCTTTAAGATTACCCACGTGATCAATATTATATATTATTATAGTGAATTTTTAAGGAGATCGACCAATATTCTTCTAAAGATCGACATAGTTCCGGTCGGCATACACTCAATATGAATTGTTTTTTAGTAAAAGCAATGAGTGAATACCAGGATTTATAATGAAAATTTTCCAACGCATACTCTAAACTTGGACTGTAGTAGTAGTACGGTGGCAATCGATTCGAAGTCACAGTATTAGAGGAAATTTTGGAGCGGCAAACGTTTTGCAGAACAAACGCCGACGTTTGAAACGTTGAAGAGGTAGAAATTCGTGAGCGCTTGGTATTTTGTTAAACCGCGGTCGTGGTGTATGACATAAAAAGTAAATCGTGATAAGTCGTGATAGTAATAGTGATAACGATCGGCAAAAGTACAAACAAAGACAACCACGGTTATGGTTACTAGAACGAAACAGACCAAACGCTGGATTAGGGCGTTTACAATGTTTGCAAACGTTTACAGCAACCGTTTAGCAACCGGACGTTCCGAATTTCTCCGTTATCAAACGTTTGCAACGTTTGCCGCTCCAGAATTTCCTCTTAGAGTATTTACTTTATTGAAGCGTTTGCTATGTACCTACGTTATTATTTTTCAATAGTAAAATATAAGTACCTGCCATCGTCTTTTAAAATTCGCGTGTAAATCGAGCGATAACAGTCGAAAAGACGACGACGCCGTGTTGTAAGTTCACACAGACGTATCGTTGAATTATTAAAATTAAATAATAGATATCGGGCGTGCGATAAATAATAACCGACCGCGATACAGTCGGCGACCCAGTAACCGGGGCCGTTCGGAACAACCGATAGGTTGGTTAATAACAACGACGACCGCGTACTATGTAACCACAACTATACCGTGGTCCGTCGCGTGAACGTAACCCGTATTATACCTACGAGCAATGATGACCAATCGGTAGTACGAGTATGCGATTCAACCGATACGGATCGGACACAGATTCAATGTGGGCATGTGGCCGTCGCAATATTATTATCATTCATAATATTATTATTATACTTCTCTGCGAATGTATAACGATAGTTGTTGTGTAATAATACGGTGTAGGTAGGTACCGCAGTAATATTATAAAATATGTATTGTACATTTGTACCATTCGTGCCGTATCGAGTGGCGCACATATTGTTGTGCTTAATATTATTATTATTATTATTATTATTATTATTATTATTATTATTATTATTTTATAATAAGTCTTGTCTACACCGTTGTTGAAAACGCGAACGACCGTGGTGTGTGATCGGCGCTTTTCGCGTTACCTCATATTATATAAAACGTTCACAAGGGACCAAAGAGTAAAAAATAAAATTTAGTGTAACAAAACACACCGACAAAACGGCGTTTGTTTGTTCGGGACCGATTATACCAGTCCGCCAACAACGGATTGTCGTAGTTATATTGTAGTGCCGTGTGTGGAGTGTGCACCACCGTGCGAACTCTAGACTATTACCAGAACCGCGGTTTCGTCTCAGATAAATACTTAATGTGTGTGTGTGTGTGTGTGTGTGGTGTGTGTGAGAGAGAGGATGAGTTTGGATTTCATAAATCATTGTTGTCTTGCTCGCACACAGCGCCGGAGAGAGCAGCGAGTGGTGTGGGCGACCGCGTTCGGGGTTCGGTTGTCTATGAACAATTATTTTCTCGTTTTTATTTTACGTCCTTCTCGCCTGGAGCTTCATCATCACTCGTCATTCCCTCACCCCCTTACCTACCACTCGGAAATCATTCGCTCACTCGCTGCACGTCATTATATCACAATAACACTATAACGTTCTTGCAACCTGAACGCGGAAAAAAAAAATACCATAAAATTCGCTCGCCCGCACACGCACGTGCACAACGGGCACATTTTCTTTGTAGGTGTTAACTTTATTATCGGATATGATACCGGCACGGTGGTGGCGACACGGCCAGAGAACTAAATTAACGACGACACCGGGATGAGAAATGGTGTGTTTCCCGGTTTGACAGCTGGAACAATGGATACAAAATATGATTTATCGTTCGCACTTTGATCGGTATACGTTTTAATTCAATCGAAATTATTGTTACACTGCGCCGATATATCGACGACGACGGTATTATTATATGGCTTAGTGTGTACCTACGTGTGTTTCGCGAGAAAATCTAAAGCTATTATTATTATGATTGGTTATTGTATCCCTTGTTTTATTTCATTTTTACGGCGTGTAAAGGAGCTGAGCTCAAGGCGCCCCGTGCTTAAATACCGTTAATCGAATTCGTTTGTTGCCGAATACCGTCGTCATCGACGACGATAAATGATCGTTTGTCGGCTATTATCACGGTCTTTATCTTCGTTTCGTTCATTGTTATGTCGTTGTTGTTTTTTATAAATTACATTTACAACCCAAATACACGATTAACGGCAACAATAACATTTCGTCCACATTGCCAGCTTACAATAAATTGATCGGAGGTGACAATGCAACGAATCCATGATTAGAAACGAGTTACCCAACTATGGCACGGGCACATCGGATTCGGAGGAGTTAACGCTAAAATATGGAAATAGAATAGAAAATTACCTTCCATACCACACATTTGATACAAATGAAATTAATACTAGGAATCGGAAACGCGTTACGCCTCGTTCTACTTTGAGATCGGAAGACGCGGTAGGTGGTTGTGGTGGAGGCTTTTTGACTTATTAACTGTGATCACAAAGTATTAAGCTCTATAGCACACGTAAATTTCCAGTGATTTCACAGTACCATCACTACCAAGCCACGTTTGGAAAATCTCTTGATTGCGAGGATCCCCTCGGGGTGAGATAATTTGAATATAACGTTTCTGAGTAATACCACTGGATATCTGTACTTAATATTATAGTGCGGTAGTCTTAGTGGTATATATTATATTATAATAATAATAATATTATATTGCATTTATATTGATAAGACCATTTTGCGACCAAATTGTTTTTTAGCTTATTTAATTATGATTATAAAATAAAACTAAAAATTAAGTTAACTTGATACCTATATTTTATTAATTTTACAATAGAATCAAGATGGGTATTATATTTAATGTGTCATTACTTATTTAATTTACAATATGTTTTCATTAAAATTATTTTTATATAATATTGTTTACCACTATAGTTGAATGTGTATCGCTATAATGAGAAACTTTTATATGCATATCGAAAATATGAATGTCATAAATTATTCTCATTTAGCAATAATAATAAGAGATTAAAACTCTAAAAATTAATATTCATTAGACGCATAGATTTTGAAAATAGCAATATTGTGGACGACAGTATGTTTTAAAAATAGCAAACTCTATAATAACAAAAGTCTAAGCGAAAGTGCATTTAGAAATTTAGAGATCTAGAAAAAACATACCAATATATTAATAACACTAATAGCTAATAACTTGTAAATACTAATAACTTCAACAAAAATTTCGTCGTTCAAAGTAAAAACAAATAAAAACTTTAAATGGTTGTCAATTATCAATATTGTACTGTAATAATAGGTATAACCATGTACTATTGTTATAATTGTTATTATTGGTTGAGCTCATGTAAAAGTTATAAAACAATTCTTTAGTATGATTTTTAGAATAAATTATAACAATGCGCTGTCATACTTCTAGGACCGTATCCCGTTAAAGCTTATCCAATTTTGATATATTAATATTACCGATAATGTTTTTCGAGGTAAAAAATTGTGCGTTTTAGTTTATGTGCTTTAATTTTTTTCCTCGTTTGTTTATGACAAAACTTCTATTGTTAATCCACGATCCATACTCATGGTGTAATGGTGTTAACCCGTGTTCAACCCACAGTATAGGTAAAAAATGTTATTCAAAATCAAAACACCCTTCCATATCTGGAGCAATTTACCTCATTTTTTATGTTTAATATTATTATAAATAATGACTTTTTTTCAGTTAGGTTATTGATTTTTATAATATTATAAACAAAAACAATTTTTCTCATTGATATATTATACAGTTTTACAATCATTTCTATGAATTATAGGTTTAACTTTTCAAACTATACTGATTCCGTAAATCTTAAAATATCACCTAGATATTAATTGTTATAATATAAGGTATGTACATTTATCATTATTTTTAATTCGTGTACGTACCAATACGAAATACCTACCCAATATGTATTTCACTTAAAAAAAAATAATGTCAAACACACTAATAATTTAAAAATATTACATCAACTGTAATAATTATTCCCAATGACCAGAGAGGTGTGTCTCTTGTCTTCATTGAAAAAACAATATATGTTTACTTTGTGGTAACCAATGGCCATACATTCCGCGGCTTTTTTTTTAAATAATTAAATATTTATCTTCATACAAATGATTTACTATTGTCAATTTGGTGTACTATTTGGTAAATCACTATTAATTTTATGTCACAAAAAATGCATTGCTTTAAGTTAGCAACTTTGGCACGCTTAAGTCATATTTTACAGAAAAGTGAAAACAGTGGGTCAGTTGGAATCAAAATTAAATAAGTTTGTTACTTTTCCACAATGACCGATTAATGTGTTGACAACTTCGTATTACTTATTTAGCTTGTTGCCGTGTGTTCGTGACTGATTTCATCTCGTTAATCAAGGCTGTTGGACAGAAAGGAATATAAATTATAATAGGTTTTCGACACACAATTTTGTAATTACCTCGTCACGTCAAACACATTCTCAGATACGTTTACCATTCACGATGTGCCACTATTCGGCATTTCGGTCTCTCGGTCCGTAATATATTATAGTTCCAATAGGTTATAATACCAAGTAAATTGTATGGTGCATTTCTTGGGTTCATTACTAATGGACTTCTACTATTAAGTTTCCAACTAATGTTTAACTGAATTTGCAGCAACTAGAATAATTAAGACAACCGAATTTCTTGTCGAAGTAACAGCACATATTATTATGCTGTATGGATGTAGTTGGCCGGTTTTCAAATTAGCCAGCTACTATAACAAACACGGAAACGTCTGTGCAAACTAATTTGTATCAAATATTTCTTAAATGTAGTATAGTCTTATAACATTTCAAGTGCTCGTTAAATGTTATTTCTTAAGAATATTGTATCGTTAAGTGTATAATTTTCAATTAATTTTTTTTTTTATTATTATTAACAATATTATTTTTATCAACATTAATCAATAACAATTTATAAGTCTTGAGGTATTTTTTAAAATTAATTATAAGTGTTACACTAAATCAAATAACATGACAAATTCTCATAAAATATATTGTTGTAAGACTATGAAAGTTTTAAAACTATAAAACACCTGGTTTAAAAAGTACAGAATAATATTATCATAAAAAAATAATTTCAAAATTACAGTGTACAATATTACCGAACAGTTTAACTACACATTTATTTTATCAAACCAATTGATATTGATATTCATATCCATATTCAAAATACTTCAAATATGAATTAAAACTAATTAAATATCTCCACGCAGCAATTATTTGTTGTAAAAATATTTTATTAAATTTAATAATGCTATAATATTACCAGACCACCTAAAACAAACGAAATTTGTTTACTAATAATATATATTTGTGTTTTTTTCAAATAGTTATAATTATTATTATTATAATTATTTTTATTTTTAATTATACATTTAGCATCGGCCCTCAATGCCATTCATTTTGTGTTTAGTAATGCATTTTTTTTATCTAAGTAGAAATATATAAATACTTTATCTTAGATATAATAATGATACAGTAAAATATTTTAATTTTAAATTGCTTTTGTTATTACTATCACTGAAAATTCATAAAAATAATTTTCTTTGTATTTTTCAATTATTTAATAAAGACTAATAATTGTTAACATTTTTATAAGAAAAATAATAAATGAAGATACAAGTAATTTAAAAAAAATAATATTTACATCCTGTTCCCGGAAATAAAGTACTCTTATTCGTTAATTATATTTGTTTTTTATTATACTTCGTAAAATAATTGTACCTCCTTGTTCACTAATATTTTCCTTAAAACAAAATCTAAAACTAGATAATATTGACATCCAAAAAATATATATTTTCACGTTTATAGATTATTATTTTTCAATATAAAACAAATAATGAACATAACTATATCAATAAATAATAATATTAAAGATAGAAAAGGGAATAATCGATTCCGAAATATTGAGAATATTATGACCCACGTGTTAAATTTTGTATAGATAAGGAATTAAATTATAGGTATACATATATAATGTTAATAATAATTATTTAAATTACAATCAAACCATTCAACAATATATTTATTCTATATAAAACTCACAAATTAAAAACGAATGTAATTTTAATAATATATCTTGTTGGGGGGTGTTTCGCGGTCCGTACAATCAACTGTGGAAGTGCTCTGAGTGAACGTATTGGCCGATGTTGCTAACTTCCGGATGGGTGACCACCCTGGATTTTTAACTACAAATCCTTACCACACCAAACAAACCCCCCACAAACAAAAAAATCAGCTAACGGTCATAGTTGCCAGGCTTAAGCTCAATAAAAGAAAAAATATATTAATAATAATATATCTTGTTAACAATAACATTCTTCTATAATATCATCGAATTTATTGTGTGTGTGTATGAAAAATAAAACAGACAATATTCAGTATTGGTCAGCGATGATTAACATGATCTATATAACATGCAACTATATATAGTATATTATTACATTATTATATCATCCTACCGACATATTTTGGTTAAAATATGAATATAATAATATATAAGTTAACGTTCATCATGTTTTGATGTTAAATTTATGTATTAAAGTAATGTTGGTTGGGTGAATTTATTTTAAGGTGAATTCCATAGAATGAACAAACTAAATATAGAATGTAATCGCCACTGTAATCGGCCGCAAATCAGCTCCCGGGACGAATTATACCTTCATTTCATGATAAATATTTTCAATATTAATTAGTAAATAATATTATATGATTCTAACCAAATCCTTTTTTAGTCATAATTGTGTATAGGTAACTTTATATAATATAATTTTAATATAATATATATCTGGGGTAAGAAGTCGGTAAGGTAAACAAAAGGGATTGTAAACAAGATTTAAAAATTAAATTTTTTATGTAGTTTAGTCGTAGTTGCTTGGTATGATGTTTTGTGTGAAATCAATATTTCAAGCCCATTACTTCAGTCACCATCCTTTAATTATATCTCCGAATGTATAAAACAATTTTTACAAGAATATCATTCTGAAAAAGTTTTTGTCAAAACAATAGAGATTAAAATAGTTTTAGCAAACACTTTAGGCGTTGAAGATAATTTTTGAGAATTCGAAGAAAGCCCAAAAATGCTACCCTTTCATACGCTCAAATTTTGTTTTGCGCTGGCATTATGAAAAATGGTAGCCAGCATGGTTTTAATCCAGCCACTTTTATTAGAACAGATATTTTAGCTTATCATTAAGAATTGAACTAAAATTTTAATTAATTTTGCAACGAGTAATTACAACCTACGTATAGGTAGGTAATAACATAAATTATTATTTTGGAAGTGGCTACAGCCAAATATATATATCAGCACCCGATCCGTATCTATATCTATTGACTATTTCCAGCTCCTATGCTTTGATTGGTCCAAATATTATTAAATATATTTTGGTAATTATGAAAAGATCCCCTACAATA